GGTTGTGCCTATAATATGTCAACGTTCATCCAGGGGGAGTGAAAGTGCCTTTGCCGACATTTCTAGCATGATATTGGTAGCTTTGTTTTTCGAATAGATAGACTATCATAATACACACTCGGAAACTAGATGTATATATGTGAGTCAACACCAATAAGTATCAACAAAGGAGCTCTTGAAATAACAATAAATTCCTATTATCTACAATGTATTAGAATAGTGAAAAATCAAGATAGCCAAAATTTGTTTAGGGTTTCAAACTTGTGTGTTAAGTTCATAAATTGCATCATGCTTAGGCTCGTTTACTTCTCACTCGAGATCCACATTTAGTATAGAGAATTTTATATGGCTTGGTCTATTTTGAAATACGAGTATACTTTATTGAAAGTGGACGTGCCAGAGTGGTTATCGGGCATGACTAGAAATCATGTGGGCTTTGCCCGCGTAGGTTCGAATCCTGCCGTTCACGTTTTTATTTATTGTGTTTGTAAGTTTCTAAAATTGTGTATTACTTTTTATGGAACTTTTATTTTGAATGGTTTTCCATCGATCATGTTAGCTTCTATTTAGTTTTTAGTATTCATATAAAAATGCGAATCAATATATAAGACAACGTGAAAGCTATAAAGTCACCCTTCTTTGTACTTCTCTTCTCGATAATTTTCAGATTGAGTGAAAGTCTTATTTTGAATCATCTACATGCATAAATTGTTACAATACAAAACCGACCTTAGCTCAGTTGGTAGAGCGGAGGACTGTAGTTGACGCAGATTATCCTTAGGTCACTGGTTCGAATCCGGTAGGTCGGAAATTATATTCTGAAGTTTTTGTATTTTAGTTTCTTTTCAATATTGTTTGACAAGAGTATAACTACAAACTCATAATTATATGAAAAATTAGTTTAAGAGAATGCGTACATGTGTAGTTTATTATCGGGAATGAGTGGAATTATAAAAGTTCTTTTCACTATACTTAAGACCGCTACTGGTTTGCCTATCACTTTCCTAAATTTACGAGACTAATTTAAGAGATTATGCGATTTTCTGATATTGTTTGTATACATTCTTACTTTGTTTACGAATTTTTTGATATGGGTTACTATGTGTATCCTAACTCAATGCAAACCTTTGTGTTCACTCATTTTTTATATAAGTACTCATGTGTCGAGTATAATAAAATCTGACCTTAGCTCAGTTAGTAGAGCGGAGGACTGTAGTTGAGGTAGAATATCCTTAGGTCATTGGTTCGAATCCGGTAGGTCGGAATTTTCTCTTGCATGGGTCTTTTTATTGCGTTGTGACATTTGGTTTGTTGAATATTAGATCTAATTGGTATATGTTATGCATAGAACTAGACATAATCAAAAAGATTTGTTCGAATTCTTAAACTGTTGGTATGTTTAAATTTCTCAAATATTGATACCATAAGAAATGATTTCAAAATTTCTGGTTTACAAGCTTTCCTAGTTTCTTTCATTTAATAAAGATATAGTTACAGAGGTTTGGAAAAAAAAAAAAAAACTATAGGCATAATTATAATCAAAGGCTTGAGGGTTGTGCCTATAAAATGTCAACGTCCATCCAAGGGTAGTGAATGCCCTTGCCACTTTCTGCATATTTTGGTGGCTTTGTTTTTCAAATACATAGACAATCATAATACACACTCAAAACTAGATGTATATATGTTAGTCATCACCAAAAATATCAACAAAGGAGCTCTTTAAATAAAAATAAATTCCTATTTCTAAGAATGTATTAAAATAGTGAAAAATCAAGATAGCCAAAATTTGTTTAGGGTTTTAAACTTGTTTGTTTAGTTCATAAATTGCATCATGCTTAGGCTCGTTTACTTCTCACTCGAGATCCACATTTAGTATAGAGAATTGTATATGGCTTGGTCTATTTTGAAATGCGAGTATACTTTATTGAGAGTGGACGTGCCGGAGTGGTTATCGGGCATGACTAGAAATCATGTGGGCTTTGCCCGCGCAGGTTCGAATCCTGCCGTTCACGTTTTTATTTATTGTGTTTGTAAGTTTCTAAAATTGTGTATTACTTTTTATGGAACTTTTATTTTGAATGTTTTTCCATCGATCATGTTAGCTTCTATTTAGTTTTTAGTATTCATATAAAAATGCGAATCAATATATAAGACAGCGTGAAAGCTATAAAGTCACCCTTCTTTGTACTTCTCTTCTGGATAATTTTCAGATTGAGTAAAAGTCTTATTTTGAATCATCTACATGCATAAAATGTTACAATACAAAACCGACCTTAGCTCAGTTGGTAGAGCGGAGGACTGTAGTTGACGCAGATTATCCTTAGGTCACTGGTTCGAATCCGGTAGGTCGGAAATTATATTCTGAAGTTTTTGTATTTTAGTTTCTTTTCAATATTGTTTGACAAGAGTATAACTACAAACTCATTATTATATGAAAAATTAGTTTAAGAGAATGCGTACATGTGTAGTTTATTATCGGGAATGAGTGGAATTATAAAATTTCTGTTCACTATACTTAAGACCTCTACTAGTTTACCTATCACTTTCCTAAATTTACGAGACTAATTTAAGGGATTATGCGATTTTCTTATATTGTTTGTATACATTATTACTTTGTTTACGACTTTTTTGATATGGGTTACTATGTGTATCCTAATTCAATGCAAACCTTTGTGTTCACTCATTTTTTATATAAGTACTCATGGGTCGAGTATAATAAAATCCGACCTTAGCTCAGTTGGTAGAGCGGAGGACTGTAGTTGAAGCAGAATATCCTTAGGTCACTGGTTCGAATCCGGTAGGTCGGAATTTTCTCTTGCATGGGTCTTTTTATTGCGTTGTGACATTTGGTTTGTTGAATATTAGATCTAATTGGTATATGTTATGCATAGAATTAGACTTAATCAAAAAGATTTGTTCGAATTCTTAAACGATTGGTATGTTTAAATTTCTCAAATATTGATATCATAAGAAATGATTTCAAAATTTCTAAAAAGTATGAGCTTTCCTAGTTTCAGTGTTTTGAAAAAAGTTGTTTATAGGCACTCATTTTTTCACAGCTTGGTATGTTTTTCAAACAGTTGTTTATGTTATATGGGGAGAGAGGAACGGGAGGCGACATGGCGAAACACCAAATTCAGCAAGCCGACTCATAGAGTGGATCGACAAACAAATGAGAAACCGATTTTCAGCAATCCGATCCTTGGAGATAGACGTTACGACAAAAGATTACAAGCTTGGTTTGATACTCGAAATTAAGTGTCAAATTCTGTTTTCAGATTAAAATCTTTCAAACTCTAGTTGCACTAGTTGTACAAACGTTACTTTTTTTTTAATGTAATTTAACATTATTATTACTAGGTAATGACATTTTTAGTTTACCCTTTGAGAAATATCAAATAACATGTTAAAATCTATGTAGATATCAGAATTTACTTTGCCAAACGAGAGGAACACAAGAGTAGAAAGCTAGAGATATATGCGGTTTGAGGATGCGGTTTCCAAAAGATAACAATATTCCCAGCAGGGTTGGTGCAAAGTTTGGTGATATCAAATCCCCACTGTTGCAGTTCTTCCAAACCCTTGACTTCCTTCCAATGCAACTCATAGGGCAAACACCACAATATTCTTCCGCGAGTACCACGACAAAATAAGAATGTCCCAATGACACACCAATCGTTTCTGTAAATGTTTCCTGGTATAGAATCTGTTTTGCCCCTTGCCACAAACATACATTTACTTGGTGAGAAAGAGAAGTTTTGACCATCCTCATCCACTACGTAAACCTCCTTCTCTTTTATCATTACCACACTTTGTTGGATATTAAGGGGCATCTTGGGCGTAAACACATACAAGAAACCCCAAGTTAGGGTAGTGACATCAAACACCTCTGCCCAGTTTGAGGAATTGGCGACATCTTCCCCGCACCCTCCAAACACATATATCTTCGAATCTGTCATCAGGCTTGCCGATGCGGAAGCACGAGCCATCTTCATTGGCGGCATGCGATACCATCTGTGCTCGAAACAATCGAAAAAGGAGACTTCGGAAGTGGGTTTGCCGTCTACGAGTCCACCAATAATAAATATGCCACAACCCATCACTACAAAAGAGGAGGCTGATTTCGGAGCCTGATACAAGTCCATATGGATCGGTTTCAGCCAACGTTGCATGGGGTGGAGGATGAACCAGCGTGGGCTTGGTTCTGGAAAGATGCGCAAGCATACGTAGAGAGATGGCTCCATGCAACGCTGCTGCCATCTCAAGTCCCTGAGCTCAGGGGAAACCACCAGAGACCGGTGATTCTTGGAGGCGATAGCTAAGGCCGCGAGGTCCAATCTCGACAACTGAGCAAGGCAGTTCACAACCACCGAATCTGGCAACGACCATAACCCACAAACCTTCTTCTTCTTCGTTTTATTTTGCCCTGGCGTCAATCCCAATTGACAACATCCCCGAATTGCACTTCTTCCTTTCAATGACAAATCAATTTTCATTCTCGCGCTAGGGCCTGATAGAAACTGCGCCAAAAAAATTCAACATTAGATGAATAATCAAAATCAGTAAAGTTAAATCAGATAAGTAAAACATCGGAGCATGTTCACTATTTACAAATCAAAACTCAAACGACAATAAAGAACAAACAAGGCAAGTAGGCAGCCCCGGCTCAATATATTTGAGAGCCTTAGGGCAAAAAAATTTTTTTTGACCTATTATTATATACAAAGAGAAAATTTACTTAAATTTTAAAAATTTTGCGGAGATTTTATAGTAAAAATTGTTATTTTAAAAATTTTGGGCCTTTTTATACATTTTCTTATAAATAATTAGGCCTCTTAAAATATAATTCTCATATTAATAATATTTTTAAAAAATATTTGAGCCTTTTTTATATGTAAATTTTTTTATAAAAAAAAAAAGCCCCGGGCCGTCGGACCTCCGCCCTACCCATCTGAGCCGGGGCTGCAAGTAGGCAACAATGAAGAGACAAGAAATCGAACCACAACACTGTTTTTTTTTTTTTTTGTGCACCAACTTCTTCATTAAATTAAGATACAATATGGAAGAGCGAATTCGGACAGACCCGAATTGCTAGCTTGAAGACTAGAGTTGGAGAAATAGAAGAGAGTTTAGAGAGAGAGAGTCGAACAGTTATTGAAAACCCGAAGAAGATCGAAACATTGGAATAACGTTTTTGTTATTTATATTTATCTTCCTTCAGCCCATAATTAACAAGTAGTTTTTGGAATAACGCTGAAGTGTTTTAGGCAGTGTTCTAAAAAGCGGTCTAGGCGGTCGCCTAGGCTCCGACTAGGCACTAGACTCTTATGCGACGCCTAGATAACCGCCTTGACCGCCTAAAATTACACAGATCTTGTTTAATGTATTTTTCAATTTTAATTAGAGTTTTATTTATATATATAGTTATAAATATTCATATATTGTTTAATATAAATATAAATAAATGTTTTATCTAATTTTTGTTTATAATTTCATAATTTTTAGTTTTATATAGATATTTTATATAACTTTTATATATAATATCATATTTATAATATTTTATGTTATAAACGTCTAAACCGCCTAAAAAATCGCCTAGGCCCCGATTAGGCGTTCTAGGCGCTAGGCATTGGGTCACCGCCCGCTTAGCGCCTAGCGCTTTCTTGAACACTGGTTTTAGGGTAGTTTTTGGATTTTAATATTGGAGAAACTAAATAATTATCTATTCATGATTCTTCAAAAAGTAGATTTTCTTAAAAAAATAAGGAAATCAGATTTTATGAGATTTTGCCCATCTCTTCATTGAATCTAAAATCCAAATTTAATGGATATTTAAAACAATTTACGTGACATTTTTCTTTTTAAATTCTTTTTATTATCAATTTACGAGGACGAGTTGTGTGGTCACCACGACCACGATAGGGTATAGAACGAAGCGTTTTGATACAGATGATGAAGAATACATTGTTTTGGATTTATTTTCTATTTTTGTTTCCAAGAGGGGTGTTTTTATATAGATTTTTTTTCAATGGTATACGGATAGATAAATTTAACAATTTCCGTACGGTAAAGTAAAATTTTGAAATAGTCAACAATGGTAAGAGAACCAAACCAAATTCTTAGATCATAAAAAAAAAAAAAAAAAAAAAAAAAAAAAAAAAAAAAAAAAAATTCTTAGATCATCCCCATACGATCGATGAAAGAATTTGGAATACATCTCATACATATACTAGATCATCACCAGTACTACAGTACAGGTTAAATTTTATTTATTACAGAATTTATATATTATATATTTTAGAATAAAATATTTATTATAATAGTTTTATTTATTCACTACCTCAATATTCTTTTTGCTAGCTTCGCTTCAAGCTTGGTGTGGATATTCCACCTATGACTAGTTTGAGGGGAAAGTTTAACCAAATCCTTGAAATCTAAAGGTCTTCCCTTCGACAACAAAAGCTTTAGAGAGCTAAACACTCTAAAGCCAAAGTGAGTGTCTTACGGAAAAAAAACAATTGGAATTGCAACCAATTCTGTTACAGTCATCATCGAACACACACGAAAATGACAGAGGAACATTGGATACTCTTAACACTATCAACCTAAAGGCAATATGAAAAACAACACACTATTAATTTCTAATGGAAACAAAAAATGACAGAATTTGGTAGTATTATTAATAGTTACCTGAATGAATGTATTGCAACGGATTGTACAAAATATGAGGTCGATACACATAATAGATAAAGCCAGAAACTGATGGTTTTAAGGGAGTGAAGCTTGATGGGTTTTGATGTGATCATACGCAGCAATGTTTTGTGGTTCACATTCAGGGCTGAAGAGACGGACAAGCATTGCAGTTGATGTGCTTACGGATACAGCACCGCACCCAGCCCACCGTAGACTCCTTGGCACTGTGATCCTTGGACCTACACATTTCCCAGAGACAACATCCATAAATGGAACGAGACTACATTTGCTTTTATAACCTTTCTATCTTAGATTTGACTCAACTATTCTATGTTCCTTTAAATCTCAAATCCGCAAAAACAACCCTCCCGGAGAAAATATGCTATGGCAGTAGTAGTCAAAGGAAACTTGTATTGCTTCCCGAAAAGTGTAAAGATCCAATCTTTCACAACACCAATCTAACTATTCAATCAAAACTCCTTTTGGATTCATTTTTTCATAAGAAACAGATACTACAGGACAAAAAACAGAATGGTAATATGCATTGGTATGTTTTCAAAAAGCTACAATGAATCTTTCTAACAATCAATTATGCAGAGCAATGGATTCAATAGCTATATAGAGAAGAACCTGTTGATTGCCTAATCTGTTTAAAACCAAGCTTTGTAGATGTTTAAAACGCAAATCACTGATAAGAAAGGAGAGAACTTTTTATACCATAGTGAAGTCTGCAAAGAACCCAGAAACCAAGAGCTCCACCAACAGTGAAAATGGCAGCTGTTTGTCTCATTAGCCTAGAACATGGCTTGGCATCAGATCTCATCAAATCTCCCTCTGACCATCCTAACTTCTGCCTTAACGCCATTTCCCTCTGTAGTTACTACAAAAAGTCAAATTTAAGTATAAGAAAAACGAAAAATTGGGTTTTGTGATAAAGATGTTCACTGAGGCATTTCATCGAACAGTTTAAGAGCAACTTCAGAAACTAGCTACAGATACAATAACTATTATGGGTTTAGATCCAAGCAAGCAAAAAAGAAACGAGAATTGGATGAATTTTCGTACACAAATACAAGAAGCAAAGGAATATCAGTCGTTACCGGTGATGCGTAGTTTCTTTGGCTGTGTCACCGTAGAGCCTGGCGGAAGAAGACGGAGAGAATCAGATCCACGTGTCTACTTAGGCCGATATTGGAAGCCCAATAAGCGTAAATTCTCTTAATGGGCCGGACTCTATAATGGTCGGATCCACGTGATACACGTGGCTCGGAAGAAACCATTTGTTTTTTCACGAAGATTGCATAACGACAAGAGTAGGTTAATAACTGAGCTAAAAAAAAAAAGAAAATCTTTGTCATCACCGTAAAGTCAATTTAAGTGAAAACAAAAAAACCAATGGGTCATTTTCATTTTTCACTGGACGAATAAAGATAATCTCTCTACAGGATCATAAATGAGAGAGGATATGTATGAGAAAACAAAAATATCAGTTCTGGTCTGTCTTTTTTTTTTCTCTCGAGACTACTTTAGGTATGTTTTTCATGGACTCTTTAATGTTTCAATCCAAAATCTCTTTCAGTTTTGGTCTCTCTGTGTTAACACACATGGCTTGATTTGCTTCAAATCTTTTCTTTTTCTCTGTGTAATACTTCTTACTGGAAAACTAATTCAGGTTCTAGTCAGTGATCAAGTAGTTTTATCCTCAAAAAAAATTTACTATTAAGTTGCTTCAGTTCAGGAACTGATGAATTCTAGTTTAAGTTAATTTGATTAGCCCAGAAAAAGAAACAGGGAAATGAGTAGTTTAGTAGATAAAATTTCTCTTTAAATAATTGTTATTTCATTTAAAATTATTTGATGTTTGGTTTTGGTTTCATTGGGAAATTGATGATGGCAGGACAAATATGGTTTCCTCAAAAACACGAAACAAACTTATCCATCAAGTCATTTGTTTCTATTTCCTAGCAATCTTGCTTCATCCTACAACCTCCAGTGATCTGTTTCATGTTGGTCTCAAGAAGAGACGGCTCGAACTCGATGATATTCGAGCTAGCAGAGTGATTAGGAAGCTGAAACATTCACAACGTCTCACGAATTACCCGTCTTTTGCTACTCTAGGAGGTGATTCTAGTAACCAAGATCAGGTGATTCTTAAGAATTACTTGGACGCTCAATACTACGGAGTTATTGGAATCGGAACACCTTCCCAAGAATTCGAAGTTATATTCGATACTGGAAGTTCTAACCTCTGGGTTCCGTCATCAAAATGCTACTTATCGGTGAGTTCTTGAACTTTATGTTTAGAACAGTCTCTCGTTTGGCGTATGTTTGTCTTGTCTTGACTACCTTGTATATGTTTGTGTTCTTCAGCTGGCTTGTTATCTCCATCCCAAGTACAAGTCTACCAAATCCAAAACATACATCAAGAACGGTAATGAAGTTGTGGAAAGTCTTAATTGATTGTTCTTAATAATCTATTAGAACCATATAGCCAATCTTGGTATCTATTAAAACACATTTTGAGTCACAGGAAAGACGTGTACTATAACTTATGGTTCGGGGTCGATCTCTGGCTTCTTTAGTGAAGACAATGTGAAAGTTGGTGATCTTGTAGTTAAGAATCAGGTCTGGATCTGTCTCTCCCCTTTTAAACCCATTTGGTTTCCATTTACATTACATTAAAGTCTTCTTTACAAATCAGGAGTTTATTGAAGCTACACGCGAAGGAAGTCTCACTTTTCTCCTTGCAAAGTTTGATGGACTACTCGGGTTGGGTTTTCAAGAGATTTCAGTCGGAAATGCTGTGCCAGTATGGTACAACATGGTTGATCAAGGACTAGTGAGGGACAAAGTTTTCTCATTCTGGCTAAACCGTGATACAGAAGCTGAAGTTGGAGGTGAGATTGTGTTTGGCGGTGTTGATCCCGCACACTTCAAAGGCAAACACACTTATGTCCCTGTCACTAGAAAAGGTTATTGGCAGGTGAGAAGACATTACTTGGTCCATATATCTGCTCTGATTATTTAGATATAAGGCATAACGAACTATAGGTTTCCAACTTAAAACTAATTGGTAATTTACTCGATAGGCCCATGTCTCTTATATATTAGTGTTGGTCTCGTGTCAAATTTGATGGGGGATCCTATCATCCTAATATAAGATTTTTCCTCTTTTTCAGTTTAACATGGGCGACATCTTTGTCGGTAGCAACTCAACTGGTAAAACTAGCTCATCAGCTAAATTACATATGCTGAATGTTTTAGTCATGTGTTGGTCATGAAACTGAAAACATTCATGTGTAGGTTTTTGTGAGCAAGGTTGTGATGCAATCATGGACTCAGGAACTTCACTACTTGCTGGACCAACTGTAAGAAAAAACATTGCATTTAATCTTTTAGTGTCACTAAACTAAAAAATATTTTTGTTCTCCATGAAATTAATCTTTATTTTTAGACTGTGATCGCGCAAATTAACCATGCAATCGGTGCTGAGGGCATTGTTAGTGCGGAGTGCAAGGACGTTGTTTCTCAATATGGAGAGATGATATGGAATCTGTTAGTAAAAAGGGTAAAATGTTTTCATCAGTTCTGTGCATGTCACTTCATCATGTAGCATTCTTATAAATCAGAAAAAATCTTATGTGCACTTGCAGGTGCTGCCTCGTCAAGTGTGTAAAGAGCTCGGTCTCTGCGTTTTCGGACAAGAGTATGTGAGCAATCTTCAAAAGATAAAAACTACACATCGGTATTAATTTGATCTTTTGTATGCAGGACGGGAATAAAAACCGTGGTGGATAAAGAAAGATCATCAGTTCTATGTGAAGTTTGTGAGATGGCCGTTGTTTGGGTTCAAACAAAGCTGAAAGTGAATGAAACCAAAGAGAAAGTGTTTGAATACGTGAACCAGCTTTGTGAGAGCCTTCCAAGTCCCGCAGGCGAGTCAATTATCGACTGCAATAACATCAAAAACATGCCAAGTGTTACATTCACAATTGGAGGCAACCCCTTCTCTCTCTCCCCTCAACAGGTAAAAAAATAAGAAAACTTTTCATTATATTTTACATGAAAATATTCCGAGAAATGTTCATATATTAGTCTTTTTGCTGTTATTATATGTTTTAGTACATTCTCAAAACTGGAGTAGGAAATGCTGAGATGTGCATAAGTGGGTTTTCCGCTTTCGATTTGCCTCCACCAACTGGTCCTCTTTGGTAAGCCCGGGTGATCTCTACAGATTTTACATCCATCTTTTTTGTTTAGCATTTTGAGGTGAAGACTATGACTATGTAGGATTATTGGGGATGTCTTTATGGGAGCCTACCATACGGTATTCGATTCAGACAATCTTCAAATCGGAATCGCAGAAGCTACATAAATATATATACACCGGTTTATCTATGTATCATTACCCGCATAGGTACATTGTGTGTATCGATGACTCCATGTACCATGTTATATCTCTATCAGAACTTTAAAGATAATATAGTTCCTAATGTTATAATAATTTCATCACTCTTTAGATGTAGTATTTACACAACTAAAAGTTTATATCACGCAGTAATAATATCATCAATCTACCAAATCCGTTTATGATCCATAAAATGTTTCAAACCTCATTGCTCAAACTAGAACCATAACATTTTGGAAACTCCTGGAATTTACATATCTAACATAGCAAAAAGTTTGCTAGATTACAAAAAAAATCAAAGATTACAAAACTGAATCCATAAACACAACATAAAAAGTCTGAAAGAAACATTGTTGAAAAAACAACAAATTATCAAAATAAAAACGATTCCAGTGTTTTTGTTTGGTTGTTCCTACTTGGTGAGAGCATAGATTGCATATATCAGTCCAGGGACAAAACCCAAGAACGTTAGAAGCAAACAGAGCCAAAATTCCAACTGCAAACACATTCAAAAATAAAAACAAACAAAAATAAGAGATTTGATCTTTGTTTAACCATTAATGTCAAATATTTTAGTCATATATTTATGATTTATGAATGAAAAAAAATTACCCCACAGCCAAATCTGAGGAATACACCAAGAGGAGGTATGAAGACTGCTAAAAGGATTTCAATGAAGGTACGCATTCTTCTTCTGTAATTATTTTTTTTTGTTTTTTTTTCTGTCTTTTAGTTTTGAACTTTTTTGTATTTCTTCTTACGTTGTTCTTGTAAATAAACAAGAAAATAGAATTAGTGGTTACGTTAAATAAGGGAAGAAACGGAGTCTGATTGTGTATCGTCCTCTGTTTGTTCCTAAAATGAAGGAGCTCCACTTCAACACCAACATCAACCCTTAGCGTTTTGACGCAACCATCCGTTGCTTGTCGGTTAAAAACATAATAATATTGTATGAACAGAAATAAGAAATTGAATAACTTAAACTGTTATTGATCAATGATCATGATGTTATTTAAAATTAAATTAAATTTCAAGTTAAATTCGATTATTTTGTTCACAACTTTATATTAAAAAGATAGGATAAAATGAACCAATCCGAATGAACATTATTTATATACATTACATATATATTACGGTTGTACACAAAAGATGCGTGCAAATTTATTTGCTTTAGTATTAACTCGTCTAGATATAGAAATAAGAGAAAAAGAAAAGGCTGAAAAACTTCTTTTAATACGCTCAATTTCCCTGAGATATGTCATAAAAATTGGCTACCCTATTGGAAAAAACATCATCTTCACCAACTCTGAGTCTCTGAGCACTCTCGGATGAAAGTAACATCACTCTTCTGTTCGTTCATTGCCCAAACAAGATCTTCTACTTATACATGCAACAAATATATAGGCCATTAGCTTGTATTAATGTGATATTGTGTCATTAAGTTCAAACCGGGCAGATAGAATGTTTGTTATTGACACACAAAATAATATTGAGCATAGTTGAATTATATATGTTTGATTTTACTATTTTAAATTTTATATAGAAAGATTTAACTCAAGTGTAGTGACTTGTTTTTACTCAAGTTATATTTTTCAATTATTGTTTAGGGTTTAAGATGGCGTCGTTGGAGTTAGAAGAGTTTTTGCGATAGTGATCTTTGATGATGCAATTTAACTTTTCTGCAGTTAATACATGAGAGATAAGGACATAGATGACGCGACGGCAGATGGTTCGTCGTTTTTGTGGTCATGGAGTAGATTAGTTGCAGAAGTGAAGAAAGATTTGGGTAAAAGTGGAGAGATGAAAGAAATGGTTATAGCAAGATGGAGTTTCGATCGTATCAACGCCTTTAAAGTTCAATAACCCACTTGTTACAACCAGACCACACCAATATATTTGTAATATTTGGAATAAAGATTTTATATGAGGTTATCATTTGACGTCGTCTAATGATTTTGTAACATTTGTTTACAACTATTAAGTCGCGGGTTTGAATCCATCAACAATTCAAAGATGAAGTATTTTTAGATCATATATATTTAGTTATAGTATTTTTTTTTCCAACCAACAAAGTTAGGGACTTAGGGTATTATATGTCCAAAACAAATTAGATTGGGTATTTTTCGTGTAATTTTCTGTTAAAATTTAACCTCGTTTACTGATTTAGTAGCTCTCTTTAAATGCCGTTAAGTCGTAAGTTTGAATCTACTAACAATTTAAAGATGAGTATTTTTAGACCAAATATAATTAAACGAAGTATTTTTTCCATCTAAAATAATTAAGGTATTAAACGTCCAAAAAAAATAGTTGGGCTATGTTTTGGTTTTTTCTCATTAAGTAAATATACATTGATTTTTATCTACTTAACTTATCTATATTTGTTTATAAAACCGTTCCATTTAACGCGGCAATTTTGTAGTGTAATTAGCGTAGCTTATGACAAGTAATTTAATGCATATTGCAATCTTGCTATCACTTATTTAAAACGATATACAGATGAAAAGTAAAACATATTACACATATTTAATTCAACTCTACATAGACGTATCAAGCGGGTCGATAGTCCGCGGGCTTTGTCCAAGTAGCCCACGACGGGGCGGGGTTGGACATCATTTTTCATGTCTATAAAATAGCGGGTCTTGCAGACAAGCCTAAGCAGATTGCAGGTTTTTACGGGTTTTGTCCGCGGATTTGCGGGTCGGCCCGCGGACTACAAATATTTAATATAAATAAATAATTAATATAAATAAATAAATACTTTTACATAATTCTGAAAATATATATGTGAAATATATTAATAGATAACAAAATTAAATGTATAAAATTATAAGATTTACAAAAAAAATTAATACTAAAATTTTTTTTAATTGAAAATTTGTTAATTTCAAATTTTAAAAATTAATTTTGTTTTTTTAATTATTTTAAAAATATTAAAACTAAACCCGCGGGCCGGTCCGCTAATCGGTTGGGCTTAGCGGGGCGGGCCTGGACATACCATTTTTGCCCGCGGTCGTAGCGGGCTGACCCATCGCGGTCTCACAAACTTAAATGCCCATCGCGAGCCGGCCCAGATGGACGTGGACCGGCCCAGATGGACTCGGACCGGCCGTCTGACACCTCTAACTCTACATGTTTAGTTGGGTGTAGGAACTTACTAAACGCGGTTTAGCAAAGAAAGAAAACATTTTAAAACTTAAAACTATAATTGTTGAAATTTATTGCATTCAACGAATAACATCACCATTTTAATATATAGCTCCGAATCAAATTTATTGATTTATAAACCAATAAACAAAAGTTTAATCCCTTAAAAATAATTTGAGCTATATATCGAATATAATTAAGATATGGCAATTTCATGATAAGTTGTTTGTCTTCTCCAACCTTTTGGAAAAGTTATTTTAACTTTACGCTTCTTACTTTATTTTCCCTTTCTTTCATTTCATTTTGGAAATTTATAATATATTGTTTATCATGTTTAGTCAAAACTAGATTTAGAGATGAATCTTTTTGTAAACCAAGCTCTTTCGGATTAGATAATCTATCACAAAATTTAATTTTTAATCTCATTTCATGGTTCCCAAAAAAAAAAAAAAAAAACAAACAAACAAACAAATTATTAATGTGTGATATAATGGTCGTAAATCATCAAATAAATTAAATTTGCCATAGATATTTGAAAGAAATTAAAACTTATCTAGAAAATTGAATGGAATGAGTAATATTTACTAGGACGAAATAATATATGAGATGCGTGATAATTAAGTGAACAGCCTAATGTTTCCATTTGTCGGTGAATGATGTTAAAGCTTTGTGGTAGTGATAATAACAATCCTTCATGTAATCTATATAAATATTATCTTTAGTTGCTTTAATCGTCTTCAGATTTTATTGGCTCTGACGATCTTATTACAAAGACAAACGAAAATGACAGTGAGGATTAGCTTATAAATTACATATAATATAACGAGTTATTGAACAATTGATTTGAGAGGACAGCTCATATATTCATAGCATCTCCATTTGACCATTCTAATGCAATGCATGTTAAGCATGGGAAATATTCCGTCTTCAGAAATATGACTTTTTGATATATTATATGTAGGGCTTTTCTTGATAACCAAATTCTACCTTTTCATTTGACAAAAAATCGTAAATAGTTATAGTACATATTTCCATGTGATTGTTAAATTGTATAATGACCGTAATTTTACGTGAAATAAGTGAATAACATAATACTCCCTCCGTTTCATATTAAGTGTCGTTTTAGAGTTTGAATTTTGTTTTAAAATAAGTGTCGTTTTGTATTTTCAATGCATATATTTGATAAAATTTTCAGTTTTATCCCTACTAATTTAATGTATTGACCAATGAAAAAATGATATAATACTAGAATTTAACCCGCGGTACACCGCGGGGCTATATTTTCTTAAAGATTAACTGAAGAGATATCATATTAATTTATATTTTTAAATGTAGATATCTATCTATGTATTATTTAGTGTATGATTACTATTGTTTAGGTTTCAATTTTTGAAGTATAGATACGAAAATATACATTTTTTTGAATATTTTACTCTGTGGTATACCGTGTGTCGATTTTTTTTATAACTAATAATTTTAAATTTTAACTTGTATTTGTTTTGTTAATATTGTATGTTTAGTTTTGTGTTTGTATAATTGTATTTTGATTGTTAATTTTAGAATTTCATCCATGATATACCGTTCTTTATTAATATCGACCCAAACCCGTCATTCCATATAAACCCGTCTATATTATCTCGTTAGCTAAATTATTAGTGTTATAAACTCCAAGAAAATAAATTATTATTTTTATAAAATCCAATAATTTTAGGATCTCATCCGTGGTATACCGTTCTTTGAATTATTTGAAATTTATACTACTAATATATATTTTAATTTTATCATATAAAGTATATGATTTTTCTATGTGAATATTTTGATTATTATAAATTAGTAGTTTTATTGCTATGCAAAATGTTAATATAAATATTTGCTATAAATGTTTTTGAAGATATATAGAAAGATTGTGTAAATATTTTTAGAAACAAATTAGGCAAGATATTGTTTGGTTAATATCTTTTATTTAAATTTTGTAAAATTAATAATAAATGCCAATGGCATTCTTTGTAAATACTGTCCAACCCTAGGATTTATTTGCTAAAAGTCATCCAAAAATGTATATATAGATATAGATAAAGGGTAAAACAGAAAATTTAATTGTTTTCTTAATATGTGTGTAAAAACCTTAAACGACAGTTATTATGAAACAGAGGGAGTATCAAGTTAACTCGTTAATAAAAAAACATATATGAACAAGTTAAATAACATTAATTATACAATTTAACTTTATTTTTGAAGAAAAAATTATACAATTTAACTACATGCTTAAAATCCACATTATTTGAAAATAAAATAAGACAAGAGATAAGTGGGCAAACCAATTTATGATTCTTTATAGAATTTACTTATATACAATTATACATATATCGGCCAAAGGGTTGGTCTTAAAATACTTGGAATCTATATATAACAATATTTGAGAAGTGTTTTTGCTGACGTGTCGGACTCTCGGCTCTTGTTGAGTCATTGATTTTACGTAATTACTTAATTACCCTTAATGAAATCTAATTAATTTTGGAAAAATTAAATTGAATTTCGGGATTAACCAGGAAAAAATAATTTTGGAAACAATAAACATGATAATTAACCAAAAAAAAAAAAAGGAACAACGAAGTACCAAAAAAAGGAACATATCTGTTTCATAATTTATCGGAAAAGGAATTATACCAAAAAAAAAATCGGAAAAGGAAAATATTTATTATAATATTGATATATTTAAGATGATAATGTCAAATATCCGAAAATTATTAATCGGAGCATTAATATAAACATAAAAGAATACTATTCTAACCTTACTCAAATTAATAAGATTTAGATATCCGAAATTAATCGTAAACGGCTATTAATTGTTAAACTAATTAAA